TCGGGAGGCTGGAAGTCGTCAAGTCTGCGCGCGAGACGATTCGTAATGACTCTCGAAAACAGCACGTAGACGCGGCTCAGAAGGGAAATCGGTCTGTAGTTCTTCAAGAGAGCGTTGTCACCTTTCTTGAAGAACAAGACCACCGCACTTCTGCTCCACGCCTCCGGTGTAATGCCACCATGGAGGACGGAATTAAAGAGCTTCTGAAGGACTTCAAGTACCGGTCTTCCACCCGCTTTCAGAAGCTCCGCTGTAATTCCATCCTCGCCTGGGGCCTTACCGTTTTTAAGGTGCTGGAGAGCCATTCTTATCTCGCTCAGACTGACGTCCGGGATATCTTCGGAATAGTGTCGGATGAGACTCGCTCTTGGATCGTTACTCACACTTGCGTGTGGCTCCAACGATGACGTGTACAGCTGCCCATAGAACCTCTCAATCTCACTCAAAATCTCAGGTGTCCCGGAAACGATGCTGCCACATTCCGTCTTCAGCTTTGACAGTTGGCTCTTTCTGGCAGACAGATCTCTGGCAAAGACTTTGGAGCCTTGGTTTCGCTCGATCGCTTCTTCAATACGAGCTGTATTGAAGTTGCGTAAGTCCCGCCGCATGCATTTGGAGATCTGTCTGTTCAGATGCCTGTATGCTGTCAAGTCTGTTGAAGAATGTAGCTTCATCTTCCGTCTAACAGCCATGAGATTAAGAGTGTGATCGGAGAGTTTTTGTGTTCTTCTGCGGCGGGTCTTGCAGAACTTAGCTCCGACCGCATGGACAGTTTCCACGAGCTTGTCATTCATATCGTCCACTTCATTGCAGTCTTCTAGGCACTGAAAACGGTTTTGTAACTCGAGCTGAAAGGTTTCGGGACTTTGGAATAGAGCACGAGGGGGACGGAGCGTTGACTTCATTAGACGAGACCTCTCCAGCTTAACGTTTAGGTTCAGTGTGCCTCTAACCATTCGGTGATCGCTGCCAGTTTTCACCCTCGCGATCGCGGAGACATCACTGAACAGTTGTCGTCTGGTCGTCATAATGAAGTCAATCTCATTTTTTGTCGAACCGTCGGGGCTCGACCTGGTCCACTTCCTGTGGGACCGCTTCTGGAAGAAAGAGTTCATCATAAAGAGTCCCTCTTTCTCCATGAATTCGGCCAGCTGCTGGCCCCTTGGGTTCCGTTGCCCTATTCCAAATTTCCCTACTTTCAGCTCTTCCCGTGGGTGTCGTAAGAGGCGACAGAAGGGAAACCGAGGCAGGGGATGGGCAGCAGCATCTTTCTGATAAGAGCAAAACAACAATAAAAGAACTTCGGTTGCCAACCGGCTCGCCAAGCGTGGCAATTATGGCAATATACCCCCCATGAGAGTACCGAAGAGACGGCCCCCAGTCCCCGGCGGCCCTGCTATTACTGGCTACGGTGGCGACCATGATAACGGCGGGGCAGTGGGTGCTCAGAATCTCCGGTGGAGGTTCGGTTGCCATCTACGACGACTCGACCTGGCAACTTATAACGCATGCACCCAGAGGACGGACGAGAAGATCCTGGAGCTGGAAGAAGAGATAAACAATTTGCGCTGGAATATCATAGGATTATCCGAAGTCCGAAGAGAGGGGGAGGACACGGTAATCCTCGAATCCGGCAACTTGCTCTATCACCGGGAGGGCGACCATCTGTCCCAAGGAGGTGTCGGATTTATCGTCCACAAGTCTCTCGTTAACAACGTTGTAAAGATCGGGAGTGTGTCGACGAGGGTTGCGTACCTTATACTCAGAATCACCAAACGGTATTCGCTGAAGATCATACAGGTTTACGCACCAACCTCGGCACACCCCGATGAGGAGGTGGAGGAAATGTATGAGGATATCTCTAGAGCCATGCATTCCTCCAAAACCCAACATACGGTGTTAATGGGAGACTTCAATACAAAACTAGGCACAAGAGAGAACGGTGAGCTGAAAGTGGGGAAATTTGGATTAGGGCAACGGAACCCAAGGGGCCAGCAGCTGGCCGACTTCATGGAGAAAGAGGGCCTCTTTATGATGAACTCTTTCTTCCAGAAGCGGCCCCACAGGGAGTAGACCTGATCGAGCCCCGACGGTTCGACAAAAAAATGAGATTGACTTCATTATGACGACCAGACGACAACTGTTCAGTGATGCCTCCGTGATCGCGAGGGTGAAAACTGGTAGCGATCACCGAATGGTTAGAGGCACACTGAACCTAAACGTTAAGTTGGAGAGGTCTCGTCTAATGAAGTCAACGCTCCGTCCCCCTCGTGCTCTGTTCCAAAGTCCCGAAACCTTTCAGCTCGAGTTACAAAACCACACATACACATAATCGTTGGAGCCACACGCAAGTGTGAGTAACGTTCCAAGAGCGAGTCTTATCCGACACTATTCCGATGATATCCCGGACGTCAGTCTGAGCGAGATTAGAATGGCTCTCCAGCACTTTAAAAACGGCAAGGCCCCAGGCGAGGATGGAATTACAGCGGAGCTTCTGAAAGCGGGTGGAAAACCGGTACTTGAAGTCCTTCAGAAGCTCTTTAATTCCGTTCTCTATGGTGGCATTACACCGGAGGCGTGGAGCAGAAGTGCGGTGGTCTTATTCTTCAAGAAAGGCAAAAACGCTCTCTTGAAGAACTACAAACCGATTTCCCTTCTGAGCCGCGTCTACGTGCTGTTTTCGAGAGTCATTACGAATCGTCTCCCGCGCAGACTTGACAACTTCCAGCCTCCCGAACAAACTGGTTTCCGAAAAGGCTTTAGCACCATAGACCACATACATACCCTTCGGCAAATTGTACAGAAGTCCGAGGAGTACAATTTGCCACTATGTCTGGCGTATGTGGACTATGAGAAAGCCTTTGATTCCGTCGAAATTTGGGTAGTGCTGCAGTCCCTTCAGCGATGCCAAGTTGAGTGTCGGTATATCGAAGTGCTGAAGTGCTTGTACAGTAGGGTTACGATGACTATCCGAGTACAGAACCAGAGTACGAAACCTATCAAATTGCAGAGAGGTGTAAGACAGGGTGTCGTTATATCCCCGAAACTCTTCACCGCTGCATTGGAAGACGTTTTCAAGCTTCTGGACTGGAAAAGATATGGTATCAACATCAATGGCGAGTACATCACTCACCTTCGATTTGCCGACATATAGTCCTTATGGCAGAATCGCTGGAGGACCTAAGCACTATGCTCAATGACCTCAATAGTGTCTCCCAACGGATAGGTCTTAGGGTACGTTCAGATGACAAGCGCTCAACGCGCGTTGTTAAGATGAACATGGACAAAACAAAGATCATGTGTAACGTCAATGTCACACCTATGCCCTATTGTTGGGAGTACTAAGCTCGAAGTTGTTGACGAGTATGTTTACCTAGGACAAATAGTTCGACTAGGTAAGTGCAACTTCGACCGAGAGGTTAATCAACGGATTTAACTCGGTTGGTATTCTCGTCAGGTATACCTCAAAACTTGAAAACGAGACTGTACAACCAGTTCGTGTTGCCAGTGATGACCTATGTAACTGAGACGTGGTCCTTCGCTGCTGGCCGGATGAGGAAGCTCAAGGTCGCTCAGCGAGCTATGGATAGGGCTATGCTCGGAGTTTCTCTGCGTGATAAACTTAGAAATGAGGATATCCAGAGTGACCGACATAGCCCAACGGATTAGTAACCTGAAGTGGCAATGGGCCGGCCATATAGCTCGAAGAACCGGCAACCGATGGGGAAAAAAGGTTCTCGAGTGGCGGCCTCGTTCCGGCGGATGAAGTGTAGGGCGTCCCCGCACTAGATGGAGTGACGACCTGGTAAGATATGCAGGAAGTCGATGCATGCAGGTGGCTCAGGATCGTGCTTTGTGGCATTCCTTGGGGGAGGCCTATGTTCAGCAGTGGACTTGTGAAGGGCTGTAATGATGATACTACTAACTCTGAGTTTTGTGTATTATATTTTGTGGTAAACTTACCTTCATCCTTGAAGTCAAATACTATTATTTGCAAAGGGAGGTTAATTTTGCCATTTTTTGTTTATTTAATGTTAGTATGCTTTAAAATCACTAATATAATAAATACCAAATCTATGAGGAATATAATATGACATTTAACATTAATACCTTTTTTGTAGGATAATTGAGTCTAGATTTGTAAGTCCTTCCAAAAGCGGCAAAGTTGCCAGGATTTAGGATATATCAAAATCAATATAACGTGTTAAAAATGTTAAATTATATAATAAATATTTTTTATTGTGTATAATTAAAAAAAAACCTTAATAGAAGTGATATTTCACGAGATATATTTAAATTAGACTTGCGACGAATAATCGGCTATTCGGTATTCAGCCTATTCGGCTACTTTTATCCCATTCGGCCGAATACCGAATACCTAGGTACTAATCGGCCGAAAACATACATTCCTTTTCTTCTCGTAGACAATCCCAGCTTCAGAGAATAAACGCTCTGAAGAATAAACACTAATTCCTTCTTGGCCGAATACTTTTGCCTAATATATTCGGGATTCGGCCAGGAGGTCTGCAGAATATACACACCGAATATGCACAAGGCCATCCCCTTTATGGAGGAAAAAAAAATTGAATCTATAAAATTTTTATTTACAAAAATGCAAATTTACTGCTTTTAGCTTTAAGTACTAAACTCTTTAATAACTGCCAAATCTATAAGTCTGCTGACGCATTGAATTTATTATATAAGTTTGTATTAGTTCTGTTTTGAAAAGCTTAAAATAAATCAGAAACAAATGTGGTAGTTTAGTACTATATCCCAGATGCTTGCATGCTGGTGAAGCCACAGTTTTTAATAGTCTTTTTCAATATTTTTATGAGTTATAGGAAGATGATGTGCATAAGCCGCAAGGCCCCTCGGACCATGAAGCCGTAGGCGGTGGTGGTCAACGTCCCCAAATATTACGCCGTTTCTGTGAATATTAACTGGAAAAAGAGTGAAAAATAGAAAAAGATTGCCACCAAGTATATGGTTTTTTTTTTCAGAATTACATGCGCATTGTATCAGCACGCAATAACAGTGGTGAAAGCGGAACCGTTTCTGAATTTTGTTACAAACTAGGAATTGAGGCTGGCGGTAAAGAAACCGTGCTAGGATATACTGCGATGGAAGGATTACAGGTAAGCAATGATTTTTAGTTTTTAATGATTTTTATAGGACTATGCTTTTTGATTTGACTGTACACAAAGATATTTAAATATATATATATATATACTATACAGCGGGCATATGGAACATTAGCATACAAAAACTTTGAGCTCGCGCGTGCTTGACGCCCTCTAGCTAAACATAACAAAACTACGCTGAATATATACTTAATAAAGTTTTATAATACCTTAATGCACAATCGGGCATATTTTCTTAAAAAAGTATGTTTTGAATTTAGGAAACTAATGCGTTTTGACCTTTTGACGCTGTCACTAAGACCAAATGGCACAAATCCGAAATATATCCTATAGGACATAAGTAAGAGAGGACCATTTTGTTGCTGATGTCCGGTCTATTTGGGTCTATTACTATTACTTAAATGTCTTTGACAGGACATGTCTAACTGTGTAGTCGCCAGTCTGAATTTATGTCTCGACTTTTTATTTACCTACCGGAATTTAGTTTAATTTTTTGGCTAAATTCTTTCAGATTTTACGCTTGTATTAATGCGGTTTCGTAATTAATTATTGTTACCGTGCTGTTTTACATTATTAACTTCCTTCTGCGTAGCATTGAAAGGAAGTTAATGGTTTTAGCTGGCAGTCTGTTAGTCTGTATGCCGACACGATAACTTCCGTTCCACTGGACCGATTGACTTTAAATTTGGTATATGGATACCTTGAGGTAGTAGCCCGGTCGAGTTTGAATTTGGGTCCTGTAGGTCAAAGGGCACCAGAGATATGGGATTCACGCAGAAGGAAGTTGTTTTTCTTGAATTTACATTCAACTCGTTTATTATCTAAATATGTTAACTATTTCTTTTTAAGCCAGCAGAGTCGATTATGATAGTGTCTAAAGGTTCTTTTAGTTTAGTTTAGTTTACGACTTTTCCGCAACTCCACGTATTTTGCGTGTGGGCAGGAATATTGTAATTATTCGAGCCATTAAATCTCCACGCAGAAGTTCAACAGTCCTTTGATTTTGCGAACAACGTGGGAAAGTGATACCGGTTTGCCGAGATGTTTAGGCCTATATGTAGCTACCTCCGGACATGCTAGCAACACGTAGGCCTCCGTTTCCTCCTTCCCCATACATGCCCTGCACAGGGACTATCCGTAAAACTGCGGGCACGAAATTAGCGACGGTCGAGCGATGGCGGCATTATTCAGCATTCGTTTTTTTTTTTGTGAACATTACTACGAGGGCGACACTGAAAGTTTTTAGAACTTGCCACTTGTAAACGATATAATAAAAAATAAGTTCGAATTTTAAAAATGGAACTCTTTGCCAATATTATGTATTTTATTAGTATGTATTTTATTATGTATTTTATTAATTTGTCATTTGCTTACGATTTGGCGGCATATTGAAAATTGTTTGTGTCACATCAACAGGAATTTAACGCGAAAAATAATTCGTATGATTTTTTATGACTCCATGTCATTTAAGTCAACAAGAAAGTTATGATAGACTTCGATTGGCCTTTCACGATGAAGCCCCATCTCCTGCCACTGTTTACAACTGGTTCAATGAGTTTAAACGTGGTCGCACCAATCTCACCGATGATCTGCGTGAGGGACGGCCTTCTACGGCGACGACTGAAGATAACATCAGTGTTGTGTGGCGTATGATAGAGACTGACAAAAGAGTGACTTATCAACAGATTTGGACAAGCTTAGGCATCGGTATAAGTCAAATGCACAAAATCCTCCATGAACATTTAGCGGTCAGGAAGCTTTGTGCCCGGTGGATACCTCAAAATTTGACAGAGGACCAAAAACTCCGTCGTGTTGATTGGTAACGTGAAATGGTTCAAAGATTTAAAGGAGGTGACTCAAATGCTGTGTTCGATATACTTACGGGTGACGAAAGCTGGATTTATTAATGGTTAAGTCGTATTCTTTGCACCAACTCTCTACTATACGGAGAGCTGTTTGGGTCAAGTTGCACACTATGCTTGCTGTTTTTCCCGAGACCAGTATTATCAAATCATCTGCATAACCAATTGCATAGAAGTGGTTGGCATTTAATTTGCTGATTAGTTCATTTATGACCAATTCCACAGGAGAGGTGTGAGAACCCAAACCCAGTAAACGCTCTTACAAAAACTATATGTTGAGGTTTTTATCACCATCGGATATTTTATTTTAATGCTTTGGTTAATTGTTTGTGGATATTCGATACTTATAATCACACCACTTTAGTGTATTAAAGTACACTTACAACTATTACTTGAACCACAATACTTGTAAGAACAGAAAAGTGTGTACATTCAAGTTTCCGTTAAACCTTTAATACTAATATTTCATTTTAAATTATATTGTGGAGATGTTTTGATGTTTATTATTCAATCACGTAGAGACAGACCATGTCCTGGTTAACATGGAATATTTTAAACCAGTGGAAATAAAAGTTAATCATCATCACCATTACATGCTGTCTCATGTCCACTGCTAAACACAGGCGTGCCCCAAGGAATGCCACAAAGCATGGTCCCACGCCACCTGCATCCATTGACTTTTTTTAATAGAATTGGGGTGACAAACGAGTACACAGACCACCGAATGGTAAGTGAATGCTGGGCTCATAGACCATAGACCATCTATATCTATTCTCGATTAAGAGTCAAAATGTAGATGCGCTGTTACCACCGAGGACTAAGATGGAATGCCTCGTTTCCAGTAAAAAGGGTCGCCGGTTCTCTACACTCACCATACGAAACACAGCAGCATTAATCTGCTATTTTACTTTAGTATTCTGTGAGAGCTTGGTCCTTTCCCGGTCGAGCCGATCCTTTCGTATTACAGCCATAATATAGCTGCAGCATGGCAAACCATGTAAAAAACCACCTGCATCTCCCCATAAGCAACGACATAAAGTATAAGTTACGGAAAGTAAAAAAAAATTAAATAAATTGTTTTGAGAAGTCAAAGATTATAAAATATATATTTTTTTAATTTTTTTTATAGGATAGGGTGACACCAGTCCACCTGATGGTAAGTGGTTGCTGTGACCCCTAGATATCGACATCTATCCTCGATTAAGAATCAAAATGCAGATACTTGTCATCTCTGAGGACTAAGATGGAATGCCTCGTTTCCAGTAAAAAGGGTCTCCGGTTCTCTACACTCACAATACGAAACACAGCAGCATTAAGCTGTTATTTTACGCTAGTATTCTGTGAGAGCGTGGTCCTTCCCCGTTCGAGGCGACCCATTTGTGCTACAACCATAATATAGCTGCAGCATGGCTGTACCACATTAAAAACCTGCATCTCCCCCATGAGCAACGACATAAAGTAAAAAAAAAAATGAAACAAATTATTGTGAGAAGTTAAAGGTTATAAAAGTATTATTAGCCGTTTATTTTTCTTTTCAGGTACTGTTCAATAGATCGGCCGGCTGGATCGGCTGGCAGACGTCGAACTGTGGTCCAAACGCACGCGTTTCTGGCCCGTACAATACTTCTTCATCACTTCTTGTTAGATGCAAACTCATAGAGCCTATGTCCGACGCAGCAATATCAATAAAGGCAGCTCAGTGGACACTTTTCGTTATATCAATAATAGCTTTAGGCGTGCTCGTCTATTTGCTCGCACCCTGCATTAAGATGTTTATTTTAAAACCTTTACCGAGGTCTCAGCAAATATCGTTATCTCAAGCCGCGTTGGTAGAACAAGAGGCATATTAGAAGTAAATACTTAATTTTTTATCCACTGGCAATTTTTTCTTCGCGGTCAAGTCAACGCATTTATTTATATTAGATGAATTCCAGCTCGTGACGCACCGATATTGTTAAAATAAATTATTTTCTGAAAATGATCTATTGACCAAATATTATTCTAGTAGACTTATTTAAGACTAAATTATTTTTGTGATTGATGATTTTATTTGAATTTTGTTTTGATTTTATTTTTGAATTTTTCTCTTTTATATTTATTGTAGTAGCATCAATCTTTCATAATTATTTAAAACTTACATTTTTGTAAGTATATGTTAATTTCGTCGATAAATTTCTAAAGCACATGTTACATTAGATATAGAAAAATGGGTAATACAATTAATGTATTTAGTAATCAAATTAAAGAGCACCATTTAAAAGTACTTCATACTAGCTTTTCATAAAGAAACTACGAAGAGAACGAATAACGACTTAGATTTAATATTTTTATAGGTCCAAATATAATAATAATAATCTCAACGTAGGAAATGTTGGTGCTACTATTCTTTATACACTAGGTATTAACTAATGACATGTAGTCCCGTATCGTGTTGAAATATCTATTCAACTCTTGCCAGCAATGCCTTGCATTGTTTTGTTTGCGTGTGTCAAATTAGTTGGATTACATATAATTTCTGTGTGGTACTTAATATACATATAACAATTATATTTTCAATTTGTCTTAGTGTTAGTTTCATGTGACTGATTTCTATCTTCCGCATTGTTTTGTGTAAGTGTGAATTGTGATTAACCGGGCGTTTGCGAATTATATAAATATTATAAAGTATAAGTACTCTTAAAGAGAAACGTATTTCGGTTAAAACTGATAGGTTTAGATAGGGGTTATTTTTATGAAACATTTTAGTCATATTTAGTTCCTTAAAGCCGTTTGACTTAGTTGCTTCCGTTTGAGGTATTATAATGTATTTAAGGATCTCTTAATTAATATCCAGCCAAAAATTGTAATTGCGATGTCAGTCATAACTTTTATAGAAGTCTTTTTTTTACTGCAAGTTGATCAACACAATTGATGTAGTAATGTTAAGTTATAGCAAGATTTTATAAATGATACGTTACATTAATAATTGTTAGATTAAAAGGTGCAATGTCTGGCTTATCGCTTCTTTGACGCTCCTACCCGTTCCTTGCAGGTATTAAGATCGGAAATGTGAAATTCCTAAAGATTGTTTCCTTTCTTCTTTGTTATTAAAGTAATACTGACCATCGCCCGGCAGCTGAAAGTTGATTCTATTATATACATTATACGACTAGAAGATTAAAGTAATTTAATTATATTTTTAATTATAGGACTTACTCTCGAATCTGTTTTCAAACTAGATTAAGTTTTAGATTAAAAATGCCATTTTTTCGGAATTGATTTTAAAAGCGTACTCCCGAACCAATTCGAATCAAGAAACACGATTGACAATCAAGCGTTATTAGCGCCGTTAGTTAGACACATCCGCATATTCCGTTATCCGGAGACAATTTTTAATAAATTAAAAATTAATCTAATCAAGGACAGTGGTTTCGGCGAATGTGATTACGAGCGCCATGTAGCAGCAGATAGCCGAAGACTATTTCTGATAATTCCAATTTGAACTATCATTCGATTCGAGTTACGGTGTCGGGAGTTCGAAATTAAAATGAGTTTTTTCGAAACTTTATTCTGTCGCGAGTAGGCCAGAACGCACTAAGTACTCATTGAGCGATATTAAACTGCTGCGTCCGCAGCAGTTGAAGAACTGCTATATTATTTCAAAACTACTGTGTATGGTATTATGTGAATAAGTGCCTGACTCGAGGGCGGTAAAAAAATCACAAGTTGGAAGGGCGCAATGCAGATTAATTACTCTGGACTAGTTGTCCGCCGTTACGTTTCTTATATTCTTCAGGTGTCGCGTTCCCACAACCGCTGCGGATGCGGGTAAATATCGCTCCATGTTTTCTTATCCTAAACTATTTTTGTAAAATCGTCTTTATGAAAGAAAGTAACGATATCTTCGAAAAAACAGAAAGTTAATGTTTTGTAACTTAGGGCACTTGAGTAAAATAAACGGAACAGAGGCAAAGCTTCTTAAGAACGTGCAAAATTGTTACCTATTTTGGTAGGGTTGTCATAATAGGTGAAGACAAATTAAACAAAACATTTGTTAAATAGTTTTACTATTCAGTATGATAGAATACTTTACAAATTATTTACTCTAATAATTTTCTTTTTAAAATTTTTGTTATTTCATAATTTATTGTTTCTTATAATGGTGTGGTAAATTCTGAATCTAAGATAAAATTTTCTCAAATAATCTAACGGGAAACACATGGCATATCAAATTTACAATCTTTAATACGTTTAAGTATTTCGTTGCGTTGTATAGTCAATGTTTGACTATATTTATTTATAAATATAATATAAATAGAAATATTCTCGAACGTTTGTTCGAGTAATTCAACTAATGCCTATTGTACTCCTTGGGATACTTAAAGTATGATATATTTTTATTTTATTACAGTATTATTCTTACACACAGTACAATAAATAACAATTATTAATAAATACCACGATTTTACATTAAAATATTCAAACTTGCAACAAATAAAACAAAATTGCCTCGCACTAATCCTGAGATTGTTGTGCACTGGCTGTGGCAGCGTAACCGGTTTTTTCCAGTCTCGCCGCGTTCCTGTAGTAGTGCAACCGATTCGCGCAGTTGTATGAAGCTTTATCTCTGTTCCGTTTATTTACTCATGTGCTTAGGGTTAGTGGTATAGTCTTTCAACGTGTAAATATAAAAAAAAAACTTTGATGATATCGGCTCTCATATCATTAAGCTAAGTATTTTCAGTCAACAATTATTCTATTTTCTTGTTCTATAGAAATTTGATTACAAATTTAGAAAATCTAAACACGTAATATTATATTGAATTGTGAGCACTACAAAATTGTCAAAAATATTTACTTAGTGAATTAATAAGTTATTGTTGACTTAGTATTAATAAGCTTTACTGGTAATTTGCTAAAAATTGTGTATATTTTTCTTCAGTATTCATAACTACGATACTTTTAAATGTCAGGGTTTCTTTTGCCTCTATCATACTCTAAATCATTGCTTGTCCATTAATAACGTGAGATCAAAAGGTAGGTCAGTACGAATCCTACCTTAACTTATCAAAGTCACGATCTCATTTTAGATTGCGATTTAACTTTAGTTATTTTTTTATAGAGTGTACAAAAGATAGGTGCAATCTTTTTACAAAATATTAAATTGGGTCATCATCATCTTTATTTTGTTCAGATTATTTTAATCTTCTTTTGATTTTTACTTGGGGTTGTTTATAAATCTCAACAAATCACAATTAAGTGGTTACGGAATTAAAGAATATCCTCGCTATTAATAGATGCTTCCTTTTAATTGATTATGAATTTATGAATAACAAATAACCAAATAATATCTTTGATGGTAAAAGGCACGTTTGTATTTTTGTAAGAGCCTAGTTCTTTTCTGGAAATGCAGTCCCATTTTCGAGCAGCGGCGAGTACCAAAATTTGTTATTGTTAGGGCCAGCAAGACGAGATAAAGAATGTAAAACAAACATTCGGAGGCTGTTAAAAATTTTATTTGGTTTTTTCATTAGTAATCAAAACCTAATGTTATATTTTAATTATAATTTGGTACCCGCAATGATTTTGGTTACTTCTCTTAGATGAACCTCTTCTTCATAGGCCCTTTAAAATCCACTGTTGGACATGGGCCGTACCCTTTGTACGGAGGATATACTTTTTTTTATAAAACGAGTGACAACAAACTTACTTCACCGAAGATACTGAAAAGTCAGCAACTGCGCAAGTATGATTGTGCTCACTATTGTTTACCTTTATCCAGAGGCAGCTCCTTTAGTGTTACAACTTTGTTAAAGATCATCTATCTTGTCTTGCTAACATTGTCTTATATTATAGGTTAGATACATAATGCATTCGGTCAAAGGCAGCAAGTGCGTTTAATTTATTAAACTTTTTGAGTGTCTTGTAATTAAAAATTATGAATTTAATACATACATATATAGCATATACTTTTAGAATTCTTTAATGTCTTAGTGAATCCTTGTGACTTTTTCTTTTGTGTTTGTGTGAAGTTTTTGCGTGAGTAAAGTAAGGTGACCAATTAGGACAAAAATATAGAATTCTAATTTAATCGAAATAATGTTTATCTTTTAATAAACATTTAAAAACAGTTGATTTTAATTGTAGTGCACCTTAAAGTTCTAACCTTTATATATCCCACTCCTGGGCAATAGTGTCCACATTGCTGCCCCAATGCGTGTTGGCGGACTTCACGTATCCTCGAAATACTTTTTTGTAATTTTTTTATTTCCCAGCTGTGCTGGTTTACTCACGATGTTTTCCTTCAACGTCGAGTACGTGTTAAATCACTAATAAAATTGCAATTAACAAATTCATTGGTGCCGGCGGGGAACTAGGTGTTTACAGCGAGCGTTTCGCCCCTGAATTACCACGGTTATGGTCGTCTGAAAAAGAACCTGATGATAAGTGGTGACAACAAAGGTATCTACTTGGTTGTCCGATGGCAGAAATGGGAAAGAGGAATGAAATCTCTCCGAAATGCATGCATTCTATAGAATACCGAAAGGCTGGCTACTCTGCGCGTATGCTCGAGGCTTGCAAGATCGAGTTTGCGACCAAATCGAATGCGCCAAAGCCTCTTAGCATGCTCTTTACTGAGTCCTACGCTTGTAAGTGGCATTTTGCAGCAACAGCTGAAGGCTGTCGGTGTACTCCAAAGTGTGTGTGGTGCAAATACTCTTGAATAAAAATAATGTAATTACAATTTTTTTTCAAAAATTTATTCTCAAAGTTTTGAAACCAGGTTTATATGAAAAATATTATGTACGCACAGCCCCAACCGCTGGAATTCAACTAAAAAATTCGAACCCTTATAGGATGAATAAGGGTG